CACCCACAAAATTAAAAATTAACTCCTTTAGATCCTCATTTGAATGCGGGATTGACACCTTTGGGATATCACGAATACCCTACTCCTTAAAATTTATATATATTACAATCTTGTTTATTATTTTTGATCTTGAGATTGCTATTATTGTTTTATTGCCATTAATAAAATCTTTTAATGAAATTAATTTTTCAATTTTAATACTTTTGGTGTTAACTGTAGGAATTACAATAGAATGAATTTATAACAATATTAATTGATATAAGTAAACATGGGGTATATCATAATACCTTGCATGTATTGTTTTAGAAAAATTTCTAATACTCCAAAACTTTTAATACTCCAAAACTTCTAATACTCCAAAACTTCTAATACTCCAAAACTTCTAATACTCCAAAACTTCTAATACTCCAAAACTTCTAATACTCCAAAACTTCTAATACTCCAAAATTTCTAATACTCCAAAACTTCTAATACTCCAAAACTTCTAATACTCCAAAACTTCTAATACTCCAAAACTTCTAATACTCCAAAACTTCTAATACTCCAAAACTTCTAATACTCCAAAACTTCTAATACTCCAAAACTTTTAATACTCCAAAACTTCTAATACTCCAAAACTTCTAATACTCCAAAACTTCTAATACTCCAAAACTTCTAATACTTCAAAACTTCTAATACTCCAAAACTTCTAATACTCCAAAACTTCTAATACTCCAAAACTTCTAATACTCCAAAACTTCTAATACTCCAAAACTTCTAATACTCCAAAACTTCTAATACTCCAAAACTTCTAATACTCCAAAACTTCTAAGATCTAAGATCTAAGATTTCGACTCTTTTTCAGATATAACATTTAATATATCCTTAGTTTTAGGTAATTTAATATCAGAATACTTAATTGTTACTTAAGATGTGATTACACTCCCTAAAAGAATGAGAATATAATTATATCCTATAAATTGCTAATTTATACCTATAGAAAATTTTCTATATTATTCTATTCAATGATATACTTCGTACATAATTATATTAATCACAGGGCTTATTTTAATTAAAATTTTAATAAGATTCCCTTTAGTTATTAAAATACTTCTATTTATAGAAATATTATCAATCATTGGTATTTTAATAGTCTTTAATAACCACATAGGAACTTCTTTTTCTTTATTTTCCTTTTATTTATTTTAATTAAAATAATTATCGAGGCAACTATATCTCTTACTATACTTATCAACTTATCAAAAAGATCCACTTTTTTCATAGTGTCTTCATCCTTCCTATAATATATTATAGGAAGGATGAAGACACTATAAATGATAGTATCCCTTCTCTTTATAGCCCCCTTTGTCGGGTTTCTGATCCCACTCTACCTATTTTATCATTAATGACAGGGATGCTACATTAATATCAATGTTGGGTCTTTTGCTATCTATCAAAGATAAATTTATGGTCCAATATAGCTATAAATTTGGATCCATTAAATATTTTATTTACTTTAATATTTATTAGTATCTCTATCGTAGTTATTATTTTCTATTATATCCTTAGAATCTGAAATGTTTAAACTTTTGATTATAAAAATTATTCTATGAATAACCATAATTATACTTTTAGTATCTTTTAGTAAATAAAATTCTTTGGTTTTTTATTTTTTTTGAGATATCCCTAGCTCCGATCATGATGATAATTTGAGGTTCAGGGACAATAAAAGTAAAAGCAGCGGCGTTCTAATACGCAAACTTTTATAAAATTTATTAGTTATTTTGTTGATAATTTTGTTTAAGAAATCCCTTTTAAGAAAGTCGTAAGATTCGTTGTTTATTAATTAATCGTAATAGTTAATTTTATTTTTTTTTATTTATGCATATTATTTAAAGTTTTAATTTTTATTTTTAGATTTTAACAATCTCTGTATGTCTTGGAACTTATCTAGTTTCCTTTAAACAAAAATAAAAATGGATTTATTTTAATCAGCAAAATTCTTTATCTTCTTTAATTTACATAATATAAACTGTTCAACTTATTCTCCTTTTAATTAAAGTAGTGTATATATAAGTGTTGTTAAACGGCTCGTTTTTAGCCCATTTTTGAAAACGGCTAACTCAATATTTCACCCAGAAAAATATTACTCAAGCCTGAAGAATTTGCTCATAGAAGGAACAAGTCTAGACATTAGTTATCGAAATCTCGAGGCCTAGGTCAATATTGAGCTAGTAGCCGTTTCGAAAGATCGGCCCAAAATGAGTGGTTTAACAACACTAGTGTATGTAAAAATAAATAAGGCAATTTATTTTTTCCTTTTAATTATAATGATGTGTGAACAAAATATATTTCTCTAGTATTTTATATTCAAAGGTATCAGTATTTTTTTCATTATTATTTAACGTAATAAGAAATTATCACTTATTTTAATAATTTTCTCAGAGCTGTTAACGCTCCTTCGTAAAAGTAGATAGCTCTCAATGCCGCTACTAAATTTTTACACCCGCTCCAAGTAATGGAGTGCCACTCCATAGCCGCTCCTTTGATTTTCATTTTTTTTTAGAAAAAGTTTAGGTATATTAAATGATATATATTTTTATAATCTTTTAATCGTACTTATAAATTTGAATCTAACAAACATTCACGCTATTCCCTGAAACCTGTTTAGCAATATTAAACAGGCCTTCAACAGGAGCTCTAGAGGGAAGCGGTATTGTATTTTATAAAAATTATTTTTTAATTCAGGAAATTTATCAAATTAGTAATTTTGATATCATTATCCAATTATCTTCCAAGATGATCAATTTCATGTAATCCAAAAAAATCTTCCAAATCATTGCAGGGCTCCCGTGAATTAGTAGTTATTTTTGCATCAGGAAAAATTAATTAATTTGTATATAATACCATATATTGTGCATTTTTTATCCATTCCCAATTTAATTTGAATGCGGGATTGATAATAGCCGCATAGATATTTTCATCATTATAAACATTTGAAAATCTGCAACAAAGTTATTTAAATAGATACTTAATTTTTTATTTTGATTTCTTCTTCTATGATGTCTGGATCCATAATATCGAAAACCACAAGATTTTCCAAGAAATTTTCAATATAAAAAGAAAGAAAAACTTGATGTTTAATATTTTAACTTGATTAGATGAAAAACCAAATATAAAACTCGGCTCAACATTTAATATTGCATAAATTTAAATACCGCTCCTGAACAACTCTGAATTTTTTACCAATATAAATAAAAATATGTTTAGTAACATTGTTTTAAGAAAATATTCAGAATTTTAATTATAGATTTTACCAGTTTTAAATGATATTTTACTCTTGATTTGCCCTTCTATCCCCTTTCCATGTTGACAATTCAAGATACAAAATTAAATCTCTGAATTATTCTCGATATTAATTTCAACATAAAATTTTTTTATTATCATTCACCTATTTCAATTTGATAATACTTTATATTTAACCTATCTTAAAATATAAATAATTTATTAAATTTGTGTTTTAACGCAGGTCGGGATGAGATTTAATTATTATAGCCGGGTGGGTCAAAAATAAATAGAGAACGGGTAAAAACCCGATAGACTTTGGGCGAACTGCGTTAAGAAAGGAGGTATCTAGATATACTCGTACAAATTTTTTTAATACTTATATCCAGGGTTCGTCGTTGTTCTCGAATAAAAAACTCCTATTATGGGAGCACAAAAATAAGAAAGAAAGAAAGAAAGAGTAAACAAGATCTATTTTTATCATTCTTTCAAACAAATTCTCCTTTAAAAGAGCGATTTGAAACTTTTTACATTTCATTTAATAACAAAAAATCAATTTAATTATTTTAAATTTGATTTAAAAAAAAAACTTTCTTGATTTATGAATCGAATTGTAAAATATAAAATGTTTATAAAATAAACCAAAAAAAAAATTTCATTTATTTAATTATATTTTGGAATGTTGTGGAAAAATTAGGATTCACCGTTCTTCTTCTCCTTTAGTGCTTATAATTCCTAAAATTAATATTTTCGGGCGGTTACAATCCAATCAATTATCTAACATATTTTTTGACATTAGCGAATGATAGCAGATAAATAAACTCAGCCTACGTATTCCTAAGTTGATATTTTAATTTTAAAAAATTAACAAATATTTACCCGCTAGTTGGCGCTAGAGTTAACTTTTTTTAAAACATATATAATGTTAAGGGTCAATGTGTTATTTTTTTTTCAACTTGATATTTTTGTCGTTAATATAACAGGTAATGTTTTTTTTATTTAAGATGATAAATATCTTTTTTGCGTTTCAAAAATCGCAAATCGTGCTTTTAAATTCTTTTTTGCGTTTCAAAAATCGCAAATTGTGCTTTAAGATTTCTTTTTTCCCGTTTAAAAAAAAATACAACTTCCAACAAGGAAGAGGTTTCTAAAAAAAACATACAAGGCTAAACACTACTGCTCATTCATACATCCATCTTCTGTTGCTAAAGCGCTTCATTCAAGCAAGCTCAGCATTGCGCCTGAGCCGAAGACTCAATTTTGGAGAGCGAGCAGAAAAATTGGCTCAACTTAGTAATTTTGATTTTTAAAAATTTGCTATAAGGGAGGATTTTATTAGTCGATATTTAGTTGTCAGAAGTATGTAAAGTAAAAAAAAATCTGGTCATTCTTATTCCAGAAAACGTGGCCAAATTATACAAGTTATTGGGATAAATTTTAGTTTGGGCGCAACAAGCCAAAAAGTCATCCTGGTAATTCAATTTCAAATGTGTCCAGTAGATAGCTTTAACTCTATTCCTTAATATGGGGGCACGTTTGCTTTCTTTCAGACTAAAATATTCTATAACGAACGATTATCGAAAATTTAAGTACAAAAGGGATTGAAGATTCTTAATCAAAGCTAAGAATTCAAACTGAATCTTTAAATTCGACATTATTAAAAATGTTGGGTGAGGAAACGTATAATTCCTAAAAATCAACATACACAAAAATTTCTTGAGAGTATTTTTTCTTTATTAATGAAAATAGTTTATGATATGCCATATACATAAAATTTACTTATTTCAATCGAACATTCACAATTAATCATCAAAAATAAAAAATATATAATACAAAGTATAAACTTCTTTTAAAATATGAGTAGCCCTAAAAAGGGCTGTTGGGTATTTATTTGCTCTTGAACAGCTGTTGCGGGATTGATATTTATCCACCAAAACCATAAAGCGTACGTCCTTGTCTCTTCAAAGCGTAAACAACGTCCATAGCTGTAACCGTCTTTCTTTTTGCGTGTTCAGTATACGTGACAGCGTCTCTGATAACGTTTTCCAGGAAAACCTTGAGGACACCGCGAGTTTCTTCGTAAATGAGCCCTGAGATTCTTTTGACTCCACCTCTTCTGGCCAATCTGCGGATAGCTGGCTTGGTGATTCCTTGAATATTATCTCTTAGAACTTTTCTATGGCGTTTGGCTCCTCCTTTTCCTAAACCTTTTCCACCTTTGCCTCGTCCAGTCATTTTATAATTACGTGATTTTTTTAAAAAATTTACAAAAGCAAACAAAAAAACGATAAATGAATAATAAAAATTTTCAAAGTATTTTATATTTATATAAACTTATATTTTGATTGGTTAAAATATTTAATATTAAAAAAAAAGAGTACAAAAAAATATGGAGGGATCAAAATTTTATTGGATGTTATAAAATACACATTTTTATAATATATTTTTTAAAAAAAAACAACAAATATTTGTTTATTATTATTTTTTTTTGATTTTTATTGGATAATAAAATTAACACATATAAATTATTATATTTTTTATTATAAATGATTCTTATTGGATAATATATTCAAACACATAAATTTATTTTGCAGAATGAATGATATATTAATTCTTGGAGGTAACGGAGCTCTTGGGTCTATATGTGTAAAATATTTCAAAAGCAAATTATGGAGGATAACATCTATATGTACGAAGTCGAATGAATTCGCAGACAAATCTATAATATTGCCACCAAACGATCCAAAATATTCTAGCCTAGAATCGCAATATGAAAAAATTGATCATGAGATACAAGAGATGAAACAAAATAAATTTGATTGTATTTTAAACGTTGCTGGAGGTTGGTGTGGTGGAAATGCTGAGAGCAAAGATTTTATCAAAAATTGCGACATGTCCCTGAAACATAGCGTATGGACCTCGTGTATAGCCGCGCATCTAGCCTCGAAATACATGAAAGATGGCGGACTCCTTCTGTTAACAGGTGCCAAAGCTTCGTTGCAACCTACTCCTGGTATGATAGCCTATGGAATGGCCAAATCTTGCATTAACAATTTGACACTGAGTTTAAGTAAAAAAGATGGAGGGTTGCCGAATAACTCGACCGTTTTAGCTTTATTGCCGGTTATATTGGACACCCCGATGAATCGTAAATGGATGCCCGATTCAGATTTTTCAAGCTGGACTCCTCTAAATGAGGTAGCCGAGAAAATATTTCAATGGTGCACCAAGGAAGAAAGTCGCCCCAAAAATGGGTCATTAATCCAAATTGTAACTAAGGATAATATAACGAAATTTACACCTGTCGATAAGTAAGTAATCATCTGGATTGCCCAAACTTTTATTTAACTTAAAATTGCATTCCTATATTATAAATTTTATTTAAACCGATTATTTATTTTACATTATGAAAATCATGAATAAATATTATTTTCATTTAAAAATGTTATCCAAGCCATTAAAAAGACAAATGCCCTATCTTATTATTATCTTGAAAGTTTAAAATATTAACACTATATTACTATCTTGTTTAACCTATATTTTATTTAGATCAGGTGACTAGATTATAAAGATATCAATTAATTATTGCAAAATTTATTTTACCTTATATAAGTGATTATGATTATAGAATTGAAGTCTAAGAAAATCAAATGTTTTGTCATCTTCCCTTTATTTGTATAAAACAATTTCAGTTAGATGTAAATGGGATATATGACTTATTTCGATTACTTTATTTCTTTATATAGATTATTAAACCTATTTTAAAATGCACTGGATGATATTCATGAATTCATTGATATTAAGTTAATTTGTTTTAGCTGAAATGAGAAAAATTTTAAGTATCAACACAGAAGTGTCTATGTAATATATGTAAGCATGTTGCCAAGAAGTAAACCACAAATCAATAGATATTGTAGAACTATATTATAAGTGTCCAATTAAATTAGCTTATTTTTTTAACCAGTAACTTATTATGAGAAGGTTATACAAGTTCTTTGTTTTAAAAAAGATCAAGGGAATTGTATACTAAAGCTTAAAGGCCCTAAAGCTGCTGCTTTTCATACCTCCAAGAATAGTTCGAATAAAATTCATGTATTTATTTATCAACCCTTGCCCAAAATCTGTTAGAACACTTTTATTCAAAGAAATTTGGAGAAGTATTTATTCCAAAATATCAAGTGTCAATTTTTCAGAGATGATTGTTGGGAAATATTGGTTACTGCAATTTTAAAATAAAATCATGATTTAAATACCCTGCAAGAAGATTGTTAGTTTTATTACTTAAATATATTTTAAATGTGTCAAAAATATATATATCAATAATACTGCATTTTCATATTTATAAATGGAGTTTACAAATAATAAATGCTTAAAAGATTAATTTTTAGTAAGGTAAGAATGATTTGATTAATTATTTTACTTTGAAGGAATTGTTTTTCTCTAAATAAATTACCCCATAAAATTCTAACCAATATTATTAGAGAAAAACCATTAAATATTAGAATTTTTCATCTCTTAAATATATATAATTACTGCAGAGAACAAGATTTTATTTCTTGTAAAATTAATATATCCAAAATTATAACTTTTTTGAAAACAATTTGTGAAATTTTTGGTGATAAAAATTCTGCCATTAATAGTTCAGACTAAAAAAAAACTATATCAGAAGTTAATTATTATTTTTTTAGCCTAAATTAATTTTAAAAAAATTTGCCTTATAAAATAACATTTGCACCACAAATATTTTTTTCCAAATATCCATAAATTTGTGATGAATTGTGACCATAAATTCAATTTTTGGTAATTTCCAACAGAACTTATAATTTTGTATTTACACTGTTCCTTATAAATTTTAAATGTTAAACTTAAACAATAAATGTTTGCCCTGTCATCTTTTTTGGGTAACGATCTTCCATTTAAGCAAAGTGTCACTTATTTTATTCAAAAAAAAACTAATTTCTCACCAAAATAATTGTCCAACTGACTCGACTCTGAATAGATTAAAAGTAAACTAATTAAATATAAAGCAAAAGAACAATAACGAATAGTCAACTTAGGATTTACATTTAAGATAGTAACTTAAGATGTCCTTTTAACTTTTGATTTAAAAAAAAAATTCTATATGCCACCAAATAGAAAATAAATAGCAATTCGTTGGCTCAGGGTTATAATGTTCTATATCCATTTTTAATTTTTCAGAAGATCATTTAGAAAAACATGCACTTTGCAAGAATATGGAGATATTAAATGCTCAGACGACGAATCTAAGAAAACAAGCATTTTATATTTTAGAATAATTTATGTGCCGAATATTAACAATTCAAGGGATATGAATTTTATTATGTATCAATCACAAATTTTCTTACTTTGCCTATAATCCTTGTAAAAAATATAGGTTGGAATTAGAATACCACTTCCACATTTATCTTTTCAAAAATCTGTTTCTTTTTAAGAAGCGTTTACTTTTGCAATTCATCGCCGAGTTTCGGCAGGGGTCCTGGTTTTAACCTCACTCATTTTTAGGTGCGGTTCAGGTCAGGTGTAAATTGAATGATTTTTTCAATTATATTTAAAAACTGGTGAAAATTTTGAAAAACCCTTCACGACGGTAAAATTTAAATTAATTAGGATTTTTTAAAAAAACAAGAAGGCGCCATTCGATAGGCGGCGAAATGCCTAATCATGTAGCTAGGATCACGCTGCAGGACCTGTCATGAGATCATTTATTTATCAAACTCGACGCAACAAATATGTTTCAATTCATTTAAACCGCAACATTATAAATTAACGAGTTTTTTTAGATAAAAATTTTTTTTAACTATAATCAAAGCTGAACACCACTCTTAAATTGAGCCTTTGAATCACTTAAATTTTATAGATTATTAAATTTTCACCTATCGAATGCTTAGGATATGGACGGAATAAAAATTTTTTTTTAAATGATAGCAAAATTAACATATTTAGCTCGGTTTCCTTGCTAGATTACTATTATTTTAATTTCATGTGTGGCCAAAAAAGTTATTACAGATAGGAGGCATATTATGACCTTTTAACGGTATAGTATATAATTGAATCTTCGAGGAAACACGGATATAAATGTCCGGGACTCAAAAGATCCAGAAGTACAAATCGTTCATATCTTGCTATTTAATTATCCTCTATTAAAATGTTCATGAGCCATCTATGTGAAGCGACATTTTTCATATTGAATAACATTTTTAAATTTATTTTCATCATGAAATATTATTAAATTTATGTTGGGCAAAATTTGTATTTGGGGCTATCTAGTAATTTATTAATCATTTTTTTAAACTTTGTCAATGAACTAAAATTTAATATTTACTAAGAGTTAAATATCATAAAACCATTTAATAGCATATCTAATGCTTTGAGTAGGGACTACCAAGAGTTTCACCTTACGCCATATTGCTAAATAATTTTCGATGAAAAATCCCACGCAACTATAAAACTCATAGAAAATTTTATGAAAAAAAAAATTGGTTGGGATCGGAATTGCTTAATTTTGGCATATTTTGTATAATAAAAAACAATCTTTATTTTTCAATCATTTACTAAACTTATTATTTTACACATCAAAAAACGAAAATTTGAATAAACATGTGATTTATTTGAAAAAATACCATAAAAATAATCAATATACGTTCTTTATTATAAAAAAAAAGGTGGCCAATATATATTTCGTTAATTTATTAAACTGTTTTGTATAAGCAAGTTGAATTATAACAATACATTTACTATTTCTTCATATAAAATATGGGTAGCCCTGAAAAGGGCTGTTGGGTATTGGTGAAAGTAGAGATAACTATTTAGAACTGGTGTATTTGGTGACGGCCTTAGTTCCTTCGCTAACAGCGTGTTTGGCTAACTCACCGGGTAACAATAGTCTGACAGCTGTTTGAATCTCCCGACTGGAAATGGTGGAACGTTTATTGTAATGAGTCAAGCGGGAAGATTCGGCTGCGATCCTCTCGAATAGGTCGTTGACAAAGGAATTCATTATGGACATGGCTTTGCTAGATATCCCAGTATCGGGGTGAACTTGCTTCAAAACTTTGTAAATATAGATTCCATAGGATTCTTTTCTAGATCGCTTCCTCTTTTTATCCCCTTTTGAAATCTTGGGCTTATGAGTCTTTTTAACGGCTTTTCCTGCTGGTTTAGGTGGCATTTTTTTATATAATTTTATATAGTTTTAACAAAAAGTAATGATAATTTTTAAAAAACACAAAATCTATTTTATATATATTTGTGAAATATTATGTGTAAAGACTATAATCCAATAGAAATCTGTTCAATTAAATATAATAAAAATAAACTATTTTTTATTTATATATATTTGTAAAAAGAATAATAAAAAAAATTGCCTCCATTTTTTATGGCTTTTTTTAAAATAAACAAGTAATTTCTATTTTATGATTGGCTTGTTAAAAATATACATATTATTTTTTTATAATATTTATTATAGTTTTTGATTGGTTTATAATTTTGATACATATTTTTTATATAAATATAAATAAAAATGATTTTTAAAAATATAATAAAAATTTTATTCTTTTTCAATTTAAATTATTAAATTCGTAATATGACTGGACGCGGAAAAGGTGGCAAGATAAAGAGCAAGAGCAAATCCAGATCTACTCGTGCGGGACTTCAATTTCCTGTTGGTAGGATACATCGATTATTGCGAAAGGGCAACTATGCGAAGAGAGTCGGTGGTGGAGCCCCAGTCTATCTTGCCGCTGTAATGGAATATCTTGCAGCGGAAGTCTTGGAGCTGGCCGGAAACGCGGCAAGGGACAATAAGAAATCGAGGATAATTCCAAGACATTTACAACTCGCCATACGAAATGATGAAGAGCTTAATAAGTTACTGTGCGGAGTGACGATCGCGCAAGGCGGTGTTCTTCCAAACATTCAATCCATCCTACTACCTAAGAAATCCGAAACCTCAGCCTAGATATTAAGTGATCACAAATACCCAACGGCCCTTTTTAGGGCCACCATAAATTTATTTGAATGTAAACTATTTTGTAAATACTGGTATACAATATATAAATAAAATTATCATCTGCTTACTCTATTTTGTTGCATTATTTTCAGTTTGAACGTTAAATAATCTTAAAAGCATTTTTATAGATCAACTGCTATATCTATTAAAAAAAATTTACTTATTATTTTTCAATTTAAAAAACACCAATAATCTTGTGAAAAAATTGTCTTTAGTGATCTGATGTGGTTTAATATTCGATTTCAAATGTATATATCCCCTTTTATATTTATCATTTTTGGTTTAACCTTTTATATTTATCATTTTTGGTTTAACATTTGGATATAGATAGAACTAACCTTAAACTTCATATTATGCTTAAGACAACTGTTTTAAATTCATCTATCATAAAGTATAAAACAATATTTACACATTTAAACAAAAATATAGGACATTGAATGTTAATTTTGATATCACATTAATAAATATGTGATCAACAATTTTTTTTAAAAATCATATTTAGTTTTCTTATCTTTACTGCACTTTCCTCTTGAGTGAGATTTCTATTTTGAACTTTTCCTAATAAGTCAGGACAATATAAAAATTTTTTTGTTGTACTACTAAATATGGCTTATAATTTCCATTAATAATTTTTTATATGAAATTACTTCTTGTATTGGATTTTTTTATGTTTGCTACATATAATCAGAATCATATCAAAGTTAAATGTGTAAGTAAACATTACATCCTACAATGAAAATAGCAAAAGGTTTATTAGCTGCAAATCCCTAAATATTATGTATAAATAAATAATATATTGAGAACTATTTGTTTTATTTTAAAAAAAATATCCCCACCTCTATGGATATTCCTGGCTATGGTGTAGGGAAAAGGACCTAAATTGTTATAATTCTAGACTTCAATTTTTGAAAGGGCTAGGCCCTCAAGATTAAGATTAGGGGATTAGAGATAACTGCCTGAATAAAAAATCAAAATTATTTTGAACAAAGATGAACTTTTTATTAAAAAAAATAAAATAATAAATTTAGGGAGGTGAAAATATATTTCATATAATTTTTAATCATTAAATTATATTTAAAATATACATTTTATCAAATGTTGGGTCATAATCTGGTGTGCGCATAGATCTTTAAAAAAATCAATTTTTCTACCGGTTAGTGGTGGTTAATGGTCCGATCTTTAACCTAGACCGGGTTTTTAGAGAACCGGTTTTATACTTAAGTTAGCTTCAGTATTCAAGTGTATATTTTGTTTTATATTACTTTACTAGAGGGTTTGCTTTGGTTGTTATATTAGGGTTGGGCCGATATTTATCGTTTTTAAAATATTTCGGATGGGGCCGAAATTTTTAAAAAAACCCGATCCGTCATTTGTCATTGTTTGTTATTCGTTATTTTATGATTGTTACATCTTATCTAGCACGTGGTCACAGAACCTACCCAAAGTGAGCGAACATACGTGAATTATATGGTGGCCCAACCTCTATATAATGATGCCGATTTTTTTTTCTCAACTCAGATGTATAGTTATTAAAAAGAGTAGAACCGCGCCCTATCCAATTGATGTATTAGAGTGAGGTGTATTTATGAATATGAGGGAGAAAATGTCAAGATAATTTTTTTTAATTTTATAAATAATATAATATATTTGGGTAAGTCACTGAAACTCGGCGGAAATTTTTAATATTATTTATTTTTAAATACGTGATATATAGCGCTTTTACCCTCTGATGTTGAAAGTTGAACAGATCTTAGTTTTCCTCATTTCCATTTGGGAACAAATATAATTTAGGGTGAAAAGTACAAATATGAGGAGCCCTCTACACGTTTGTGAGCAAGCAGCACGTACTTGTACGCGCAACACATAGAAAAATTAAACGTCTATAGGCTTAATAAAAAAAAACGGAAGTATAATATTATTTTAAGGAATGGGGTTTTAAGTATAAATTCTTTAATGTAAATCTTAGATGATTACAATTGATATTGAGATTTACTGTTCATATCAATTGAATTTTCCAATTTATCCTGAAGGAACGAATTTTTTTTGTATATTATTTAACTTCCGGTAAGATAAGATGAGTTCTATTTGTCTGATTTTTAATCTTGATATTCTATTCGTAGTATCCAGTTGCATCGGGGAAAACCGAACCTCCTATAATATCACTTTTTTTAAAATATTTTTTTATTTATTTAAAAATAACATACATGCGATCTTGTGGATATGGTTGGGAAATTCAATAAAAAATGGAAAAAGCGTTATATTAAACGCTACTAAGTTGGGACTATAATTTTCTTTTGTGAAAATTTTCACAATTCTTTAATTTTACATTTAAATATAGAATATATTATTTAAAAATTTTTAAAAAAGCGTCTGCTATATTGGATGCTATCGAGTTAGAACTATTAAATCAAATACTAGATAATTAAGCAATTTATTTGAATAAACATAAGATATAAACAATGATAATATAGTATATGTAATTTTAAGGACAAACAAAAATAGTTTTCTATATTTTCGATTTTATGTGTCTAATAAGTAAAATTGTTAAAATCTATATTTTCAAAAGGTCATATGAATCAGAATCTCATATCAAGACGCAGTTCTAAGCACAGTTTTCCAAAATTTTTGAACGCTACTAAAACTTAGTAATATGTAATACTTAACTTGTATATTTTAGTTAATGCATCCATCTAGATGGTAATCAGTATAAATAAAAAAAGTAACGATTATAAATTTTTTATTTATTTTTTACCTTCTAGCGCTAAGGCTAAGTGATTGTTTAGTAAAATAATCCTAATACTAAGTGCCTTTTTCACTCGGAAAATATAAAAGGTCAAATGTCAATCCCACAGGAATATAGGGTCGGAGCATCCCATTTTTTTATTATATAAATTAATTAGAACGTAGCATTGCCAGGCCACCACTAGGTTGAATTCCATTAAGCTTTGGGAAATGGGCCTTTGAGTAAAAAAAATTTTTTTTAGGCCTTTTAAAGATCTTTTTTTTTACTCTTAAAAATCTGGAAATTGATTAACTGAAGATGAACTAATTAATCACTTGAATCATTTATTTAAAATTAGTGACCAACAAAATAATTTGATCTTTATGTTCGTTTTAGAGTTTATACGGATAAAATTTAATATTTTAAATTAAAAATTTATGAATTCGAATCGCTTCTGGAATAGGAACCGACTATTGGAAAATATTTAACACCATTCTTGATCCAAGTTCTAAAAAACTATGTGCTTTCCATTTGAATATAATTTATGATTTTAATCCTGACTTCTGAAATATAATAAATATGATCATAGTAAAACTTAATTATTCTTATATAAACAAAATTCAAATTTATGGATAAAAGGTTTATGGGCCTAATAAAATTTGTTATCTCCTATTATAAACCCAAAAAATGATTTCATACTTGATAATTGGTTGAATACTTATGACATGAACATTACCTAGGCCTTTTACAGTTAGTTTAGTCTAACCATTTCTTCAAGATTATATTTACCAAATACCATATTATAAATAGAGGGTGGTTCGATTGAAGTGACTTGATATCCTTTTTCACTTAATAATAACTTCTGGAAAGTTCTATAAATTTCTTAAATAGGTTAAAATAATATGCAACTTTATTTAAAAATTTTTTTTATAAAAAACCAAACGATTTTTTCTATTACCAAACGATAAAAAAATATGGTTTTTTTTAAAAATAAAGATGATTTAAGTTTAATTAAATATTTTACTACTCAAAGAACATTAAGAAGGTGCCAAAAGATTATTTCAGGATTTCATATAGAAACTAAGTTTCTTTAAGGACGTAGTCGGCTTATTGGCAAAAATTTATATTAATTTAGCCCTAATTATCTCACATAGACTAGACTTAGAGGTGGTGAGAATTTTTATACCTCTGACTGGACTCATTACCAATGTTCATGGGACATAATCTAATAGTATACACTTAAATTCGTTTAATTTTTTAAAATCAATTTATTAAAATTTGGTATTACATAATATAGCTGCTTTAAAAAAAATTTTTATATTACTATTACTACACATGTGTTATCTTTTTAATTTTTATACAATTAAAAAAAAAAATACTAAATAGGTCATTTATACAAAAAATGCGCTACTGCTTGTCATTCCGTAAACATTCTCGATCAAAAAATTGGGATTTAGATCAACACCATTCCTTACCTCTAACTTGTTGGAATGGTGCATTCTGTAAATGGTTGCTTCACTTTTTAATCCCAAATTTCGTATCACGATAGAGAGTTGTGATTCGGTTTTATTTTCCGGGATAAGAATGTCGACTTTAATAATTCCGGAGAAAGCAAATAGTATTCCCAAACATATCCGTAACGCGATCCCTTCATTTTCGGCGTATAATGGGGCTATGGTCCAACCTACATACTTTTTATACATTAAACCATAACCCAAAATATCGAACGGGTTTGATTCCAAGTGCGATAATATATAATCTACATTCTCCATTTCGTAGTTAGAGTTGACAATGATCGGCGGCATCATATCGTCATCACCGAGCCTTAACGCTAGCATGCCAATCATATCGTGTTTATCGAGTTTGTTTGAATCATTTGGTTCAATCTTTTCGTCATTTTCAAATAGAGATCTTAGAAATATGTTCCTACAAATTCCATGAATGCGCTCGTCGTAAGATATTATTCTTCGTAATAGTTGTTCGTTAATTAGGTGGGGAAGGAATGGAATATAGTGGATAGCACCCTTATTATCACCTTGCTTCCAATTATTACTTTTTTTGAGATCCGTGATATTTATTTCACCTATCAATTTCTGAGCTTAAAAAAAATTTTTAATCCTATTAAAACTAATTTAAAAAAAACCTGAAAAAATTGGGCAACTCATTCCCGACTTTATATTAGTCGCAATTCTACTTTCAACGGAATTGATGCCGAGCAACCTATTTTGAACATGTTTGAGTCTCTCGTCGCACAAAAGTTTAGCCACCCCCTTTCTCCTGTATTCTTTCCTGACCATGAGACTCCCTCCAAACGCGAAATCGTCGTTTAAAATAAGGCCTAAGCAAATACCTTTGGGATTGGTTAATTTTTTTCGGTAAAAATGATAATGATTAATTATGATGTGAGGAGGACCATGAAAAGAGAAGCTAAATAATGGGGGGGGGGGAATATTAAAATTAGGTAGGAGCAAATATTTTATATATTCTTATTCAAAGTATAAAGTTTCAAAACCATTTCTTTTTTTTTAATTCTCTAGACTTTACCCTTACCTATCACTGGATAATCCTAACCCTTATAATATAAAAAATTAGATAAACAGCTGATATTCTGGTATTCATTAAACACAAGGCTAAAAAAATGATTTTAAGAGTATTATATTAAGAGGGTTTAAATATGTCAATACTCACGATGTCAGGCATTATAGCTATCGGCGGATACTTTCAATTTTAAGCGATACCAGTAGCGGTAACCTACGGTAATTTTTCATATATTGTTTTTTTAGCCAACTCTTTAGAGGTTTGCAATAGGTGTATTTACCCTGTCCGTTCATGGTGTTGTTTCTGTACTTAAAATTTTTACCCCCCCCCCCTCTCACCCCTTCATTCAAGTTATAAATTTTTTTTAACCCTCCCTTTGCAAAACCTTTATACCACATATAATAGCTATGAATTTAAATTTACATAATATATAATCATATTGAATAAATATTTTAATTTAAAAAGAAAAAAAATTAATTATAACATAGGAATGGGAAAAAAAAACAAACAAATTACTACTTCCTTATTAATATCAGGTACTATTCAAATAAGGAAACCAATGACCAATCAATATCATCCTAATTATAAATTTACTACCAATATTTTGTCAAATATTTTTTCATTATCACAATTATAATCTCGTTTATTTTGTTAAAAAATTGAGTCTAACCTTGCCCAAGAAGTTGGTTGCCGACACAAAACTAGCCCCGCTAGTAATTTAATCAGAACCTACTAAGCCACAGCTGCCATTTAAAAATTGATATTTTTTTCTTCTACAAACATAAAATGATAATATCGCTTTTCAAAAGAGATCATCGGTAGAAGTTTGAGAGCTATAAAAATGGTCTCCTCAATGGAACCCTTTACCATCACAGCTCCAAATAATCATTTCAGACTCAATTAGATTACACTGATTCGTTGAGACCGAAGTATACTCATTGCTTGGAAATTCATCTTGCATAGATCATTTTACCAGATCTTTTCCCGCCAACTCCACAACGAGAGCAGAAAAGTTTAAAAAAACCAATAAATATAGCCACCTAAATAATTTATTATTATTAGTTTGGATAGTTTCAAAACCTGTGGTTCATTTGGACCTCAAGCCTTAAATTTATTCAAAACAATAATAGTAGGGAAAAAGCGAAAAAGTTTTGTTTAATCGGAGGGAGGGGGGTATATCTACAAAAATTTACCGATCCAACTGTATTCCTAAACATGTCATATAGTTCTGAGTACGAAAATCTTGATTTTGGCATTATAAATCCAAATATTTGCAAGAAATTATCGCCACTTGAAATTATAATATTACCTAATCAATCTCAGTCTCATATAAATGCTGTAATTATTTTAAATAATTTTTTTTTTCACTCTTCAATTACAAATAGAATTAAATTATTGCAAATATACCGATTATTTCGTGATTAGGCAATTCGGCTATAAAACAACCGGCCGGGTCAACGTTGAAACAGCTTTTGAAAAATTTAGCACTAGCCCTCCGGCCATCAATTTCGAATATCCATTTGGGAATATTGGCCACATCGGTTTCTCTGAAATTTCTAACAGTCACGTTATTTATATCGAAATTCATAATTCGTATGAAAAATGAGCTATATAAATATAATCATTACGAATATACGTTAATGGAAATAAAAACGAAAAATGTATTATTTTTAACACCTTTATACAATGTTTTGAATTATATATCAATTTGTATATAAAAACAAAAATAATATGTTTTTTTTAATAAACAAGGACATTTTTTTTAAAAATTAATACAATATTATATGAATCATAATCTAATATAACAAATAATGATTTTAATTTCGCAATAATGATCAAAATTTATCTGTGTAAAGTTGGAGCAATTTGAAGCCCTAATTATACTTATGCCGATGTCATTGTTCTCTTCTCTTCTCTTCTCTTCTCTTCTTTCTTCTCTTCTCTTCTCTTTCTTCTTCTCTCTTCTCTTCTCTTTCTTCTTTCTCTTCTCTTCTCTTCTCTTCTCTTCTTCTTCTTCTTCTTCTTCTCTTCTCTTCTCTTCTCTTCTCTTCTCTTCTCTTCTCTTCACTTCTTTTTTTAAAAAACGTTTAGCTTCATGATCTTGGCCAAAAAGTAAATTACTCGAGAATTTGCCCCACTGATGGAAAAAAAAGTTCAGAACTTTATTGTTAGAAATTTTGAGTCTTAGATAATAATATTTTGACGTAAAATCTTGATAGCCCCTGGGCTAAATGGTTGTTTAACAACACTACATTAATTCGTAAACATTGCAAATATTTTATAAATGACATTATTAAATTTAAATCATTCGTTGAAAGATAGTTGGTTTTTTTAAAAAAAAATAGAAAGAATATTGACAGTTTTATGATATTTGTTTGACAGAAAGATTAGATGGCAAATATAAAATCAGTATAAATATCGGTTATCGAAATCGGATAGGTTTTTAGTAAATATAGGATCAGTGACAAATTTGTGGAACGGCAGCTAATTTGATTGATCCTTTTTATCGCAAGAGACGGGTAGCCAGAGGAAGGGAAGAGCCTCCCTCCCCCCTATAGTATTTTATTTGAAATAGGTTATGATATTTAAAAAATAAGGCAAATAAACTTTAAATACCTAATAAATAATCATTTAATTTTTGTTTGCTATATTTAAAATTAAATTAAAAAATGAATCTAAGGAAAATTTAGTTGCTTTGTAAACATTTCTAAAAAAATTTAAAACTTTAACTATATGTCTTAAAAAATTTTTATTCTGTATCTAGTAGCATCAATATATAATATGCTTATAAAAAGGAATTTTCAAACAAATCAAAAGAAAGTTATCTATATTTTATTTTTCTTCTAACTTAAAACGCAGCAAAATGTGAAGGGGTTTACCGGCTAGGCTAAGAGTTAATAAATGTTGGTGTTAAATATGAATAGAAGCTCTGCGTAATATTTTCCACAATCTTCATATTTCTTGTGCCAGCCAGCCCCGGGCCTAAAGATTAAAATTATATTGGAATTTGAGTTTATATATATATATCTAAGGAAAAATTAAAAAAACTATGTTTATTAATTAGCATATTGCCGCCTTAAAATAAGCGTATATTTAACCTCCATAACCAAGTATAACATTTTATTTTATTTATTATATATATATTACAATATATATGGAATCAAAATTTGAATAATTAAATTTGGCTTAACCAATCACAAAATGCTAATTTAGGAAATCTTTAATTACCACATGATTCTGATTGACGCTTCGCTGAAACAAAATAATTATTCTAGCGTATTTCTAATATTTAATTTTCGAGTTGGGTCGGGATTCCTCTTACGACCCGACATCCGAGTCACAGAAAAAAGGACCTTAATCTCCATAACCCGAACCGCCGGGTCGGTTTTCGGGCAGCCTGTGAAGGCCTCTAGATATGGACAACAAAATATGAGATATATTCGTGAGCAGAAAAACTTTAATGAAGACATAGTTCCAAAAGGTATAATAAAATTAATATTAAATGACTCGTCCATAACCTTTGTGTACATATGACTATAAAAGAAGAATAAAAACTTGTAACACCGCTCGACTCAAATGATAGAATCCAATAGAACCAGCGAGGTTGTTAGAGAACAGTGCCCATTTATGCCGTGATGAGCATCCTCCCCTCACCCTAATTTTTTCACTTCCTATCTCGCCATAGTCTACCCATCCCTTAATGATACTTGGAAACAAATAATAACCCCCCCCCCCCCTTTGGTATTGTAGGCTGCTAATGTAGGTAGATCTGGCTCAGAATCATAGATTTATAAGCTTTGTTAGATCCACTTGAACGGCTATATCTATAAAAATAATTTTTTTTTACTTAGTATTCTCCGATTTAAAATATATTAACACCAATACTACAGTGAAAAAAAAGATTTTAATGCTCTAGTCGGGTTTGATGCCAATTTTAAATGTATATAGATCTCCTTTTGTATTTGTTATTTTTGGTTTAACATTTGGTTATAAGATACAACTAATATTAACCTTGATAAAAATATTTAATTTAATTATGCTTAGATTAAAGATGATTATAATTTGTGCCAAAATTTTCTGAAAAAGAGTTACCTTTTTTTTAAATTTAAAAAATATTTTCACATTTATTCTTCAGTATAAAACAAGATTTACACTAATACATTCAAACAAAAATATTGGACATTGAATTATGTTAATTTTGACATTTATTACATTAATTAATATGGACTAAACAGTTTTTTTTATAATCATATTTAGTTTTCTTATCTTTACTCCTATAACATATTGCTGTTACTTTCCTCTTGAGTGGATAAGATTAACTTTGCCTAATACATTGCAAAAATCCATCACCATCCCGAAGGAAAAGATATGCTATCTGGGAATCGACATAGATTTCCAGCAAAAGACCGCTAGATTCCTTTAAAAAGTCAGGGCAATATAAAAAAGTTTGTTGTAACCTCTAAATATGGTTTAAACAAGTTCCATCAATAATTTTTTATATAAAATTATTTATCGTAGTTAGTGTTGTAAAACGGCTCGTTTTGAGCCGATTTTTAAAAACGGCTAACTCAATATTTAATCCAGAAAAATATTGCATAAGCCTCGAGATTTCGATAATATATGTCTAGGATCTTTGTTCCTTCTATGAGTAAAATCTTCAGGCTTGCGTAATATTTTTCTGGAAGAAATATTGAGTTAGCCGTTTTTAAAAATCGTCTCAAAACGAGCCGTTTAACAACACTAATCCTAGTGGATATTTTTGTGTTTGCTCTATTATGTGAATTAATTGATACGATACTATGTTTATAAGTGTGTAAAAAAATTGTTAGGGGCCATCGAAATACTTTTTTCTTTGAACAACAATTATTTATCTCCAATTACATTTTTATTATTAAATAATTTAACAAAAAAGATATATATTCTGAGGGGGGGGGTTAATCTCCTTCCCTAAATATGTCTAGAATCGGGCCTGCGCTCTACCCCCCCCCCTTCCACTTCTTCTTACATTACCCAACTCCCATTCCCTATTAATTCTCCAACATTCTTATCTCGTGGCAAGATTTCCTTGAATTACGATTGAAAAATAAAATGTAAATTGTGATTAATTAACGAAAATGAATAAAATTTAAATGATGACTAAATTACTAAAGTGGCAACGATGATTCTAATTATTCAATTAAAACAAGTATGAAAATAGTTATTAATTTTTATAAATTATGCCTCAAGCAATGACATATATAATACCTAGACTGACGATTCATTCATTAAAATGCATTTTTAAGCGTCGTTAAAAGCAAATCAACTGGACCGGTCATTTTGGTAACACGTATAGTAATTATTCTCATGCTTAAAAACTACTATTTAAATTGATAACTTGTTTCCTTATTATCTCGATGATCCGGTAATTCTTTGCATCAGATATAGGAATAAATTAGGCTCTCGTTTAAAATGTTGATAACGATTAGTTTAACCAAGATGGCGTCTCCAGCTGATTTGCATTGATGTACACTTTTAATGAATGAATGTCATTGGCCTCAAGCCAAAACAAATACTATTATAATTGACAAATCGGAAAAATTAAATAATGGGTCCATTGAGCGTTTGTTCCAATTTTGGGACGCAACAATTGGATTAAAGAACTGTACACCGAGCGAACAGGTGATTTAATCGTTTATAAAATTAAAGCACAATTATATGTTTTTTATTTTTATATCCATTTCAATTTGTAATACCTTTTATTAGGATATACTATCGATGGCTCATAAATAATTATCATTTTTATAAAAATGATAATATTTATTTAATAATTCCTAAAAGATATGGTTTAACCACATAGCTTTGATGTAATTAAATTCAAAAAATTTTGGAAAAAACTGCAAAAAATTCAATTAAAATCGATTCGCAAGGTGGCGTAATTTATTTTAAAAATGATTTTTTCTTTTGATGATTCCTTTACTCAATTGCTAGATTTTTTGGGGATATCTTTTAATTGCAAAGTAGAATAAACGATATTCACAGTTTTATACAAATAGTATCACACAGACTATAGTGGGCATAGTGTCTAATAGAATTAGTATTTCTCCTGATCTAATAGAAATACTAGCCCTTATCTATGCTGTATAGCCATAGCCTAACCCTAGCACGGTCCGTGAGTTTAGTATCAGGCCTTTGCATGAACTGCGTAGTTCGGTAAAAACGAAATATAACTTATTTTTCGCAGTCCTAAGTATCCCTAAGATTTTACCGAATGCAGTGAGGTTGGTTGTTTAATAAAATTAGTATTTTTCATCATCTAATATAAACACTAATCGACACTATTGTTGCATAGCCTTTAATTTCTTTAAAATTCGCATATTTTGAGGTGAATATTTTTAATGGCTTAAAATGATATTTACTAAAAAAGATAGATGCATAGACCGTATATTTTTTCTAGAGGGCCTGGTAATAATTGAATTGTATGTTGTTATTGATAAGTTAACTCTTTTTGTGGGAAGATTAATTTATATAACAAAAATATTAGGGTTTTCTCAAAAACCCCAATCTTTATTTATAACAGTTCAGTATACAAAAAATTATAATGATTTTAAGGTTCTCAAGAAAACATTTATAAAGTTTTCGTTCGGTTCAGCTAA